ACTAAATGTTTCTGTTATTAAGTTAATTTTTAAATGTAAATTAGACCTTAAAATTTTGACACTTGAGAAGTACTTAAATTTGCTCCATTTTCTAGATGGAATTTTTTTTTTTTTTGCTATGGTAAGTAGGATTGTCTTTACAACTGTTGTATGAAAGCAAACAGTAAGTTCATAATTTTCATTCCCAGTTCATAAAAATTGTACAAGTAGCATTTATTCCAAAAAATGGAGTAGTTTTAAAACAATTTATTTCAGAGAAAAAGCCTATATCTGATTACAGAGTTTATTGAGTAAATTAATGACCTTATTTTATATTGCTGAAGAAGTGTACTTGTATTTTAGAAAGCTTTGATGTCATCTGTTCATAAACAAAGGTTTTTTTTCAGCAATTGTCAGCAACTAACTGATGAATTACTCTTCCTGTCTTTCCATATATACATAAATAGGTATGACTTTTGATTTTTAAAACTCTGAGGATACCTTAAATGAAGCTTATAGACCTCAGAATAGGAATAAAAAGTTCATTTTTGTGTCACAGACATATAGATATACTTACTTGGAATATGTATGCATTTAGTGGCACTACTGGGAACGTTAGACCTCTCTATTCTCTCCCTGTGTGCTAAATTTTATTGATGTACACTTAAAAGCTTATAGAACACACATGTACTTTCAGAAGCCCATTTGTTAGCATTTTGTATTTCAGATGATAATTTTCCTTTATGCACTTGTTATTGTCAAAAAGACGAACTTAAGTCCTAGTATTTAGGTAAGGACTATATAAAGACTCAGGTATTTTGACTCTTCCAAAGATTTTGGAAATTGCCATGCAAACTTACTTTAGTAAATTTAGTCTATGCTAAATTTATGATAACTCTTGTTATTATGATATGTTTACATATGTGGGTATAAATAGCACTTTAGTAAAAATACGTGTACATATGTTGAACCTCTGCAATGAAAGTAATGCAGCTGTCATTGTTACCAGCTCCTTTTACCCTGACTCTTCTGCCTACAACCTAGGGACTTTACTACTAATCCCTTGTCCTACTGTATATTTATTGGATAATATAAGCAAAAGGTAATTGCTCTTTATAAAACTTGGAGCACCTCAGTATTAGGATGAAATCAGCCTGATTAAATGAGTCCATAATAAGAGATTCCCTGACCCCATCTTCAGAGTTATTAGCCATTAATGGCTTGTCTGTGAAATCCTAGCCTGTCATTTACTATTACTAATGTAGAAGAAATAAAACTAGCCACTTAGTATTCTTATGCTACCCTTTCGTGGCTTCCTTTCTCCTGCACAGTCATTCCTAGGAGTTTCCTTGTTTGCAGTTGAAGGAATTTTTAGCTAGTAGAATTTCAGGTAGTGTAGGAGATTTGTAGGCAACCAAGTCAATTTTTTAAATTATGTCACCTGGTCTATTTTTAGCATAGTGTAAGATTGGCCAAGGAGTGGGAAGAGAAAGTGGTATTTGATAAGGCTCGGATTTCTCTCCCTGACTGGTCTGATCATTGTTAAGCCATGCCCCTCCTCTCATATTATTTACCAGTGTCTTCCCTGTTTTAGCTTTTATTCCTTGGAGTAGACAGGCACACTTGTTAACTGTTGATAAGTAGAAAGCTTATCTGGTTTCCTCAGGCTCAAAGGTTTAATGACAAAGGAATGTGTTTTGAAACCACCATTTTGACAAGGCTGCTTTGAAAGGATATAATCAAGACTCTTTTTTTAATGTATAGTTGATTTACAATACTGTGTTATTTTCAGGTGTATAGCAAAGTAATTCAGTTATATATATTTTTTCAGGTTATTTTCCAGTGTAGGTTATTACAAGATATTGAATATAGTTCCCTGTGCTATAAAGTAAATCTTTGTTGCTTATCTATTTTATGTATAGTATAGTAGTTTGTATCTGTTAATCCTACACTCTAATTTATTCCTCCCCTTCCTCCTATTCCCCTTTGGTACTCATAAGTTTGGTTTTTATGTCTTTGAGTCTGTTTTCTGTTTTGTAAATAAATTCATTTGTCCTGTTTTTTAGATTCTATGTATAAGTCATATCATGTGATATTTGTCTTTCTCTGTCTGGCTTACTTCACTTATGATATTCTCTAGGTCCATCCGTGTTGCTGTAAATGGCAGTGTTTTATTCATTTTTTATGGCTGAGTAATATTTTGTTTTATGTATATATACCACATCTTGTTAAACCAATCATCTGTTGATGGGCACTTGTGTTATTTCCATGTCTTGGCTGTAGTAAATAGTGCTGCTGTTTAAACTTAACTAAGGAGGTGAAAGACTTACATGCTGAAAGTCTTTTTATAAAACATTGATAAATGAAATTGAAGACAATTCAAAGAAGTGGAAAGATATCCTGTGTTCTTGGATTGGAAGAATTAATATTGTTAAAATGCCGTATTTCCCAAAGCAATCTACAGATTTAATACAATCCCTATCAAAATAACCATGACATTTTTCTCAGAACTAGAACAAATAATACTAAAATTTATATGGAACCACAAAAGACCCAGAATTGCCAAAGCAATCCTGAGAAAAAAGAACAAAACTGGAGCCATAATTCTTCCAGAGTTTAGACAATGCTACAAAGCTACAGTAATCAAAAGCAGTGTGATAGTGGCACAAAAACAGAAATAGAGATCAATGGAACAGAATAGAGAGCTTGAAAATAAACCCACACACCGCAGTCAGTTAATCTATGACAAAGGAAGCAGGAATATACAATGGAGAAAAGGCAGTCTCTTCAGCAAGTGATGTTGGGAAAGCTGGACAGCCTCATGTAAATCAGTGAAATTAGGACACTCCCTCACACCATACACAAAAATAAACTCCAAATGGCTTAAAGACTTAAATCTAAGACATGACACCATAAAATTCCTAGAAGAGAACATAGGCAAAACATTCTCAGACATAAATGATAGCAATATTTCCTTAGATTGGTCTCCCAAAGCAGAAGAAATGAAAGCAAAAATAAATAAATGGAAACTAAAAATGTAAAAGCTTTTGCACAGCAAAGGAAACCTTCAACAAAACTAAAAAACAGCCTATGGACTAGAAGAAAATATTTGTAAATGATGCAACAGACAAGTAGTTAATATGCAAAATAAACAGCTCATTCAACTCACTATCAGAAAAACAACCCGATCAAAAAATGGACAGAAGACCTAAATAGACATTTCTTCAAAGAAGACATACAGATAGCCAACAGGCACAGAAAAGATACTCAACATTACTAATTATTAGAGAAATGCAAATCAAAACTACAAGGAGGTATCACCTCACACCAGTTATAATGGCCATCATCAAAAATTCTACAGATAAAAAATGCCAGAGAGGGTGTGGAGAAAAGGGAACCCTTGTACAGTGTTTTGGGGAATGTAAATTGGTGCACCACTGTGGAAAACAACAGTCTGGAGTTTCCTTAAAAAACTAAAAATAGAACTAACATATGATCCAGCAATCACAATCACACTCCTGTGTATATATCTGGAAAAAAATGGAAGCACTAATTTGAAAAGATATATGCATCCCTAATCAAGACTTTCTGAAAACAGAAGAAAATACCAAATAGTTTTATGTCTTCTTCATAAATTTGAAATATACATTAATCAACCTTTTATTATTGAGAAACGTAAGCAACAGTCATTCTCATTTCATCCCTTACCCCTCTCCATCTTTTTCTTTGCTGCTCTCTCTGCTCTCATGTTTTCTACATTGCTGCCGTCCTACTCCAGATGTTGATCTCATACCTGAAACTCACCAGTTTGTTGTTCTTCATTTAGATTCTCTTGAGAGGTCACTCAGATGGGCCACAGAATTAAACATGACTTGTTTCCCTTGGGTTTGCCAGTGTACTATGGGGACAGTTAGCAGCAGGGTCTTGTGGTCTACTACATACTTTGTAGGGGCCATAAATTTTTTAAATTAATTCTTGATTGAAGAATAGTTGATTTACAATATTGTGTTTGTTTTAGGTATACAGCAAAGTGATTGTTATACATAACATATGTCTATGTATTCTTTTTTCTGATTCTTTACCATTTATCGTTTATTATAAGATAGTGAATATAGTTCCCTGTTTTACATAGTAAATCGTTATTTTTTAATCTACTTTATATATGGTACTGTGCATCTGTTATTTCCATACTCCCAGTTTATCCCCCACCTTTAGTAACCATAAGTTTGTCTTCTATGTCTGTGAGTCTGTTTCTGTTATAAATAAGTTCATTGTACTATTTTCTAGATTCCACATTTGTGACATCATATAATATTTGTCTTTCTCTGACTTACTTCACTTGGTATGATATTCTCTATGTCCATCCAAGTAGCTGCAAATGACATTATTTCATTCAATATTCTATTGTATATATGCACTACATCTTTATCTATTCATCTGTTTATGGACACTTAGGTTGCTTCCATGTCTTAGCTCTCGTAAGCAGTGCTGCTGTGAACACTGGGGTACATATATCTTTTTGAATGAGAGTTTTTGTCTTTTCTGAATATGTGCCCAAGAATGGGATTGCTGGATTATATGGTAACTCTATTTTTAGTTTTTTAGGAACCTCCATACTGTTTTTCATATTGAGCCATGAATATTGATTCCTTTGGGCAGAAGCAGCAGCCACTGGCACTTCTAATATACTTGCAGAGTTTGAAGCAGTTAAACACTCTGTTATTCATTTAAATGTTTTTTATTGGCCTACAGATTAATTGATTTCTCTTTTTCTGTACATAGAATCTAGATTTATTCTACTAAAATTAATTTTGCACACTATGGTAGGAAATTAAAATTTATAAAGTAGTTTAGAAACTGATTTTTCTAATATACCTAATTCTAAATGGAATCTATTATTTTTCCTGTTAATTCTCTTATCATATGGGGAAGTGTGCAATATCCAAAGAGAAAATATTTCTTTTAGTAACTACTGTGTTATGAGTTCATTTAGAAATGTAATAATCACTTTTGTCTTATAGGACAAATTATTCGAGAGAAAAGAATTGTAGAAGCAGCAAATAGAAGAGAAATAGACTATGAAGTAGGAGACATCCCAGCAGAATGGGAAGGTAAGTTTCTGCTTTAGTAGTATCTTCTGGAAGGCAAACTTTTTAGATACAAAATCAACAAGAACATACATAATTTCCTATTTATTCTCTTTGCAAAAACTTTTACAACTGCTTCAGTAAAACTTTTTTTCAACTTTTTTTAAACCGCATTTCTTTGTAAGTTGTGAAATTTCCACATTATAGTAAGGGAATGCATGTATAGTGAAAAGAACTATGAAGCATTAGCAATCCTGGGACTGGGGTGAAGCGAACAAAGCTCCTAAGATGCAGAATTGAAGGAAGCACTCACTTTGATGTGCTGGTCCTTCACTTGAAGAACCTCAGGGTTTGAATTCTGTTTCTGGTACTCTCTACCCACATGAACTTGAGAAAGTAACTCATACTTCTCAGTCTTAATTTCCTCTTTTACAAATCGTGGCTAATACTTGCTATAGATACCACTTGGAATATTCGTTCAACTTACAGTGACCCCATTAGCTGACCCCATGTTTGGACAAAGATGGACACTTGCTCCCTATTAGGACTTTGGAATTAAATTTAAAAAATCAAAGAAAGAGAAAATAGTAGCAGTCTCTCCATATGGCTGAAATAAGCATATGAACTCAGTAGCATGTGGGTGACTATATTTGATCCACTGTCTAAACTTTGCTGCAGAAAAAGGTGATTTACCAAAAGGAAAGTAGAAACCAGTCTGCAAAAAGGAGGACAGTTGACCTTTGAACAACACAGGTTTGAATCAGGTCCACTATGTGCAGGTTTTTTTTAGTAAATACGTATTACGGTATTACACAAACCACAGTCAGTTGAATCTGCGGATGCGGGACGGCAGATATGGAAGTCCAACTGTAAAGTTACTGATTGGGTTTTTGACTGCGAGGGGGTCAATGCCCTTAACTCCTGTGTTGTTCAAGAGTCAACTGTATTCTCGTTCTATTTCTTTGTGAATGAAGTTCAACTGCAAGTCTGCCTTCAAGTTCTTAGTGCCATCCCATATCTTTGTTGTAAATTTCCCCTTTTCCCTTAGCAGTTCTTAGCCTAGTAAGTGCTCAGTAAGTATATATTGAATACATGAAATCTAGCTTTAGTTAGCTTTTGTTATTTTCAACTGAAAGAACCTTAACTAAAATGCCAAAACCTATCTTATGTATCACTTAAATTTATCAAGTGTTTACCTGTATGTGGTATTATGCCATTGCTTTATAATCATTAATATTGTTTTAATCATCACAACAATCCTATAAAGTAGACACTGGTTATACCCAGTGAATAGATTGGGAATCTGAGTTCTAGAGAGATCAGATAAATTGACTGGATGATAAGCTACACACTGTAAACAGTAGACCCCTTGCTTCCTGGTGAGTGTAGCATGATACCTTATATATAGTAGTGATAGGCACTGGGTTATTTTTATGTCAGCATGTGGGTTTAAATATTTCCCTGGAAATATCTTTTCCATTTTTCCTTATTAGCTATAAAAATACTAGAAATATGAGGAAGGAACACAAAAATGGGTAGATACTAGAGTCTTTTTGAAGAAATACTGACTATAAGCTGGCAACTTCTAGGAGTAACTGAGCTTTCTTCTTTTAACAGATTTTCCAGTGTTGTAAGCTATGTTTGCAATTCTCAAATAATGCTTGTGCCTTCCTATAATGAGCCAATTTTATCATTTCTTCCAATAATAGTATGGAATTAAAATGTTCATAGAAATAAATTAAGTTATAAATAAACAAATAGGTAATGACTCATTTTTCAGCCTTTGAGACTTTCAGAGAATTAGAATGAAGTTCTAATGCTTTTTATGGCTCTGTCCTGATCTAGTAATTCAGCATAACTGTCCTGCAGGGCATACCCTTAGAACAAATGTATTAACCAAACACTGAAACTAAAACTATTTTTATAGTATTGCATATCAATTAAATAAAAAACTAAGAATTCCGTACCATAAAAAAGTAAAGTAAAATATAAATAAATACACAAAACATTGTATACAGACAGGGAAAGGAAAAAAACTTTAAAAATAAATAAGTGTCAACCCCAAATGAATCAAAAGTATTTTCAGGTCCAGATGAATATTATATTAGCAGAGTACAAATACCTACAAACTGTATATCTTGCCATAGTATGTATTAGACAATGTGCCCTTTTCATTCATTTGCTTAATAAACATCTATTGAGAACTTCTGAATTCATGGAGTTTATATTCTGGAAAGGAAGAATGAGTGGAAGAAAGACAATAAACCAGATAAATAACTATATTGTATGTTAATGGCCACAGAAAATAAAACAGAGAAAGGGAATAGGGGCTGTTGGGGAGGGTTTTGCAGTTTTAAATAGTGTAAAGAAATGGACTTGTTGAGAAGATGACCTTTGAATAAAGGCAGAAAAAGGAGTTGATCATGCAGATAAGAAGCAGAGGAGCATTCCTAGAGAGCAAGTGCAAAAGCCCTGAGGCACGAGCATGCCCATTTTTTAAGGAATAGCATGGAAGCCAGTGTGACTGGAACAGAGTCAGAGGGAAAGTAATAGATGAGGTTAGAAAAGTAACAGGATGACCAATCTTGTAGGGCCTTAAGGACCATTGTAAGGACTCTGGCTTTTACTCTGAGTGAGACTGGAAGCCACTGGAAGATTTTGAAAAGAGTAGCCATGTGCTCTCAGTTATATTTAACAGGACCACTCTGGTTGCTGCATTGCAGAGAGACTGAGGGGGACATAAACAAAACATGGCGATGGTATTCTTTTGTAATAATTCAGAAAAGAGCTAATTGTGGCTTGGACTAGAGGAACAGTGGGAGTAGAAAGAAGTAGTTGCATTCTGGATCTGTTATAAAAGTATATCCAAGGAGATTTGCTGACAGATTGGATGTGGAATGTGAGAGAAAGAAGTCAGTGATGACTCTTAAACTTTGGCCCTCATCTGGAAGAGTAGAGTTGTTGTTGCCTGAAAGGGTCAAGACTATGGGAAGAGCAAATTTGCAGGGTGGGGCAGAAATGAGATCAATTTTGAAAATGTGAGACTTGAAATATCTGTTAGACATCCAAGTAGAGATATTAAGTTGTATATAAGCCAAGAATTTGGTGGAAAAGCGTGGGCTGGAGATAAAAGTTGGGAGTTGACAGCAAATAAATGGTATTTAAAAACCAGGAGGCAAGATGAGATCACAAAGGAAATGTATATAAATAGAAAATGAGAAGTTCAGAGACTGACCCCTAGGCTATTCCAAGGTTTAGAGACAATGAAGACAAAACAGCAGTCAGAGAAGTAGGAGAAAAAAGGAAAGGTATCATGTATTGGAAGCCAAATGTCAGGGAAGAAGAAGTGATCAACCAGTCGAATGAAGACTGAGAATTTAATCTTTGCTTTAAGAACGGAGAAGTCAGTGATCCTGCTAAAAATAGAGTGTTAGGAACGAAAGTCTGATGGAGAAAAGCATAGCAAAAGAGTATTTGGAGAGACTGAGTATAGATAATGGTTAGTAGGAGTTTATTGGTAAAAGGAAAGAGTGTTGAGGCAGTACCAGGAGAGAAAAGTGGAGCCAAAAGAGGAATTTATTTTGTTTTAAAGAGAGTAGTAGCTGAATTTTGTAACAGTGATTGGAGAGATCCAGTTGAAAAAAAGGCATTAATAATGCAGGAGAGAGAAAGTCCTTGAGGAAGCAAGATGGGGCCAGGATCTAGTATACTTGCGGAGGAATTGACCTTTGACAAGAAGATGGAAAGTTCATCAGGAGTAATAGCAGAAAAGTATACAAACATGGATGCAAGTAGACCAGTAGATGTGGTGGTGATAACCTGTGTAAGTTCCCTTTTGATTCCTTTAAGTGAAGCACAGAGAGATTAAATAACTCCCAAAGCACAAACAGCAGCTACAGCCACAATTTGAACCCAAATTGTCTTTCTCCAGTCTTTATTCTTAGTATTATATTACTTCTTAATGATCTGGCTAATAAATTAAGTACAAACTCAAGTCAATATTTGTCGAATGAATGAATTTTAAATCCAAAGTGTATAAGGAAGAGACATTTGGGGGACTTTGCTGACTGGCTGAAAATAGTCCGTTTTAAAAAGACATGGAACGACTTACCGAAGCAATTGGTTTCAAACATAAAGAACACTCAGACAAAGTTCATCAATGGGATTTGTGGATTTTTGAATGAAGGCCATTCTGACTGGTGTGAGGTGATACCTCACTGTAGTTTTGATTTGCATTTCTCTGATAATTAGTGATACTGAGCATTTTTTCATGTGCTTTTTGATCATTTGTATGTCTTCCTTGGAGAATTGCTTGTTTAGGTCTTCTGCCCATTTTTGGATTGGGTTGTTTATTTTTTTCTTATTGAGTCATATGAGCTGCTTATATATTCTGGAGATCAAGCCTTTGTCGGTTTCACTTGCAAAAATTTTCTCCCATTCCATAGGTTTTCTTCTTGTCTTACTTCTGGTTTCCTTTGCTGTGCA